AAATCTTGACATTTATTAATATACTATAAATTTTGGCAAAGGTATCTTTGCTAATGACAAATTGTTTCTGAGCATGACATATTACTTTCTGTTATGTAACATGTAGAAAACACTGTATCCAGACCTGTATTAATTGATATGCAGCTCTTTAGCCATTGTTCCTAGCAGCTAAGGCTTGAGGGGAGGATATCAGCCTTAAGTAGAGCTTGTGAGATACCTGTTTTCCTCAGAAAGCACTCGAAATGGCTGCTTATCATACACAGGATACTGTCTCTCAAAGAGTCAGAGTGAGTGAACTTTTGCTGACTGGTGTCTCTATGGATGGAAGAAAACCTAGGCTTGTGTTCTCTACCTAAGGTCTGAAGTAGTATTGTGTAACTGTGTAAACAAATAAAGAAAAAAGTATATATAATATCCATATTTTAAAAACAGGAGCTTTGCCTGTTTCCGCATTTCTCCCTCCACTAAAGCTTCTATTTGATTTTTTTGTAAAGTTTTGTGTTTTGGTAGTGAATTCATGCTTCTGAGTAATAATTAGCAGTTTTGTGACAAAACATTAGCTGGGGAGACGCAAACCACAACAGACCAATATACAGATACCACCAAAGTCCAACTGATGAACAATGCGTCTATTGGGATTAGTTCCAGGAACACAGGTGAGGAGTTCCTTACAGAAGCAGAAAGAGTCAAAGACAACTGCATCCCCAAGGCCCACCCCAGCCTTGGTGATGGATCACACAGCGGGGCACCGGGAGCACACTGCACAGCTTGCAGGTAGCTCCACAGTTGGAGAGTGTCCTTCCCAGGGGCCTCTGTTGGTCTAAGCCTCGTCCAGGCAGCTGGCCTACTCTGAGTCTTTGCAGGTTTTCTCCGAGAGTCTTCTGTGAAGCTCAGCTTGTTTTAGTCTTGGCAGCTCAGCTGTCTCAGTCTTCTGTGCAGCTCAGAGTCTGAGGTGGACCCAGAGATTTGATTGCTCACTCTGGTAGGGAAGGGCTTAGTGAATTTGGTCAGTTTCAGGGACTTTCTGCTGCAATTTTGGGTTGTTTTCCTTCCTGTTTAAAGAGTTCCCTGGGGGATGGACTGTGCAGTCTCAGAGGAAACTTGCACAACATAAGTATGTGGTAGAGATTCTTATTGTTGTCCCATTAGGAAAGGTGAAAATTTGGCTCACTTTTCTTTCCCTCTTGCCATTACACATACTTTTCCATCCCATATCCTCTCTTTATAATATTACTATACTAAAATTTTGCTTAGATTGAGATTCAGCATTTTCATTGCCATTGCCATAAATATTAATCATAGCTGAGCCAGGTGGTAACTGCAATTTTTTTTTATCTGAAGTTATATTGATTCTTTTTATTTGCTGGGTTTTCTGTTCAGTTATGAATTTTTCATCTTCACTAGGGAATTATTTGTTTTTAAAGTTATTTATTTGTACTGATGTTTGTGTTGGAGGTGGGGCTCATGGAAGCAAGAAGAGGGCATCAGATCCTTTGAAGTTAAAGTTAAGGTAGTTGTGAGTTCCCTGACATGGGGGCTGGGACTGAACTCACGTCCTTTGGAAGAACAATATATGCTCCTAGTAGCCCATTTGTTTGTTTTGAGACAGAGTCTTACTCCTTAACTGAGGCTTCCCTGGAACTTACTACTTAGCTTAGGCTGGCCTTGAAATTACAACAATCCTCTTGCCTGAGTCTCCTAGGTGTTTGGATTACAGGCATGAGCCATTACAACCAGCTCCATCCAAAAAGCTTAAATTGGCTAATCATTCAGTGCTAGTCTGTTAATAATAGCTGTAAAAGATTGAGTTGTGTGTCTAGTTTTGTGTAAGAAAGACACTATTAAATTTTGTGTTCTGAATATATTTTATTAAGATTTTATTTATTTATTTATTATGTATATAGTGTCCTGTCTGCATGTATTCCTGCAGGCCACAAGAGGGCACTAGATCTCATTACAGATGGTTGTGAGTCAGCATGTGGTTACTGGTTATTTAACTCAGACCTCTGGAAGAACAGAGCCATCTCTCCAGCCCCTGAATATACTTCTAAACATACAGATATAAGTACATGCATATACAGTGATCACCGTTACCTTACAAGTCTCCTTTTATACTAGTTTCTTTTAATTATCAAATAGTTTGATACTAGTAATAGCTATTTTCTGTGTTTTGAATATTAATTCTTGTTCTTTCGTTAGTTATAGTTTTTGTGGCTGCTCTAACATATTACTTCAAACTTTTTTGTTTTGTTTTTGAGACAATGCCTCACTCAGTAGCCCAGGACAGTCTTAAACTCACTGTGTAGCCTAGGCTGGCCTTGTACTCTTGTTCCTGCCTCGGCATCCCAAGTTCTATTATACATACCTAGATTACCTAACTTAAATGACTAAAGTTTCAGGAATGTATTTGTGAGGGTTTAGTGGTTAGACATCTAAACTGAGTTTCATGGATCCTAATTGAGGTATTAGCAGGGCCACCTTCCCACAGATTTTAGAAGAAAATATGTTCATTCACTTTTCCAGCCTTTGGTGTTTACCTGCTACCATTCTTCTTCTTGAAGCTGCATTCTGTAGCCTTTGTCTGCTCTTCACACCACCTCCTCTTTTCTGCTGAACCTCCCTCTGTTGCTCTCTTTACAAGAACACTTGTAGTGGCAGTTAGTGTCCATTTGGATAATCTGAGACTGTTTCCATATATTAGTACTCTTAACCATATCAGCAAGGGTCCTTGTGCCTTATAAAATGTCAGAGTTCAAGGGATTAGGATCTAGTATTTTTGGTTGGCCAATATTCAGACTGCTATAGTTCATGTCATTAAAAAGACTTTCACAAGGTTGAAGCTTGGCAAAGAGTTAGGATATTGAAAGAGAAATAAAACACAGTGCTTTTTCTGGACCACTTGAAACCCTGCTTATGACTCAGACTCTAATAGAAATTAATAACTGATGGGAAATGAAATTCTGACATCTGTTTCTAGATGCATTACAACAGACTACAACAGACCTTTGGAGTCTTTGGCCGTATGGTGTGGGCCATTGAAACCTGTTCTACCTGACAGTGAACAAAGCAGTGTATGGCTTGCTATACATTGTTAACTCCAAGTGCACAGAGTGTCTTTTTTGCATTGTGAATAACTCTCTTGATTTCTGTTGCTACTCTGCACCTGATCCAGAAGTCTTCTTTTTGGTAGAACAAAGAGTAATGGTTCCAACCGGTTTACCTGGCTACAGGTGTAGACCTCTGGAAACAAGGGCTAAGGAAAGAAGATACACTGTGGAACATTGGACTGGTAGTAGAAGTGGGTTTTTTTAATCATTTGTTCATTATTAGTAAAAATTACATAGTTTGATTACTATATCACTATGTCATAGTTTTCCTCAAGGAAGACTTGATTCTGTTAGCATTTTAGTAGTAGGCTAGAAGTATTCCTAGCCTTGCTGTAGTTTCTTTAATTAGTGTGGAGATGTTTGTTCTTTTCCTGATGCTTTGTGTATCCTAAATAGATACATAGTTTTTTCCCCTCCTAAATGGACATTCTTTGAAGATTTGAAAGAGATAAAATAGGTTCTGCTACTAGAAAAGGAAAATAGTTATGTACTAAAATCACTAGAATAAGGAGTTAATATAAAATCATATGATAGTTGCACATCAGTTGTTTCTTAGAATAATTGAAATAAATTGGTTCTATTGTACAGTGTTGCACTCTACATTGACTTAATGTGATAGTCAACTTCCATTGTTAACTTGACACTATCTTGAATCACCCGGGAAGAGAGTCTCAGTGAGGGATTGTCTGCTTCTGTTTGGCATGTGGGCTTGTCTGTGGAGGGTTGCTTTAGTTAAATTCATTGATTGGAAAGACCCAGCCCACTGTGGGCAGCACCATTCTCTAGGCCAGGTGTCCTGAACTATTAACAGGAATGGAGAAATTAAGCTAGTACAAGCAAGGAGTCAAGTTTGCTGCTGATTGGGTATAATGTGATTAGCCCTTTGAATTTCCTGCCTTAACTTCCCTACAGTTGATTTGGGATTCCCCTCTGTATGCTGTGAATACCATTGGTTAATAAAGAAACTGTCTTGAGCTGTGATAGGGTAGAACAGAGTTAGGTGGGGAAAACTAAACTGAATACTGGGAGAAAGAAGGGCAGAGTCAGGGAGAAGCCATGTAGCCCTGCCAGAGACAGTTGCCAGATGGAACTTTACCCAGTAAGCCATAGCCACGTGATGATACACAGATTAGTAGAGATGGGTTAGTTTAGAATATGAGTTAGCCAGAAATTTGCTTAAGCTATTGGCCAAACAGTATTGCAAATAATATGGTTTCTGTGTGATTATTTCGGGGCTGAGCAGTAGGGAACCAATAAGCGACCTCCTTACAACATACAATGGAGGACCTGGAATAGTAAGCTGAAAAAACCCCCCCCCCCCCCCCCCACTAACCTCTGAGTTGCATTTGCCAGGATATTTTTGTCACAGCAACAGAAATGACCTAGGACAGCTAGGAAAGCTTGCTGGAGGAGAAGGAAATCTGAAAAAAAGGCAAGTATTAGATTTCAAATGAGGTAGTAGAGAAAAGAGTTGCATAAATAAGAAATAAGAGTTTTAGGAGAACTAGGTATGGAGTCTTATAGCAAGGAGTAATAAAAAACATTTATGCAAGACGAATAGAAGATAAGGTGTGTATTTGCTCAATAAATCCTAAGTATGTTTAGGTATCACTATCTGACATTTTATGTATAAAAGGTATGTATCATTTCAATGGGTTTGCTTTATAGAACTTAAGTCACGAAAGTTACCCAGTTTTATCATAGAATAATGACAGCAATATTATAAAGTGCAGATTAAAGTCAGCAGATTAAAGTCTCCTTTGCAAGTAATCCTCTTGTCCTGAACCTGGCATCTTTTATAATAGAGACCTGTTTTCCTCTTGGAACACTGGGTGCATTTGGTATTAGGACTTTAACCTGTTTTTGTTTTCTTTTTTCCACCTTCTCTGGCAGCTTAGTCAAACTCTGAAACAGGCACGTCAGCAGCTGGCATCCTTTAAAACTGTGGGTGACAAAAAGACACCAGTGCTTCTAAATGGTAGAAGGAAAAGTTCTCCTGCCCATGAGGTAAATTAACTTTTTTTAAAATAAGTTAAAAATACGCGAAAATATATCTAGGAATTTATTTTTATATCAACATAATTTAGAAATGCAAAATAACTGAAGTAATATTTAATAGGGAATATTTGACTAAATTAAGATATACCTAAGTATAGCCATTCTTTAAAAAAATATATTTTCAAATGATATCTGAAGAACAGGGAAAACTTTTAACTGAAAAAAATAATATATAAAATTACATATACTATAATCTTAATTTTAACAAGTGTTAACACTAGGCCATGGTGGTGCACGCCTATAATCCCAGCACCTGTGAGACAGACTCAGGCAGATCTCTGAGTTCGAGGCCAGTCTGGTCTACAGAGTGAGTACAGGACAGCCAGGGCTACACAGAAAAGCCCTGTCTCAAAAGACAAACCAACAAAAAATAGTGTTCAACTATTTCCTTACTAAAAGGTAAAACTTATGTATTATAAAAATTTTAAAATGAAGACAAGGAAATAAAAGTTATCTATAACATTACACAAAACTGTGAGACACTGTATTTGATCTCAGCAAGTGTAAGAAAGGAACAGAAGACCAGTATTATCTTCCTGGACTGTAGATATCCAAGTGTTTGTCTGTCTTCGTTTTCTTATCACACTTCTCATTTCAGATTCTTGTTATTCCCTTGTTTATTATATCCTTCCCCAGTAACACTGAGGCCCCCCGAGAGATCGCTCATATTTTCACCAACAGGTTAACATTTGTGTTTTTGTTTGTTTGGTGTGGTTTTTGGTTTGTTTGTTTGTTTTGATGCAGGATTTCTCTGTGTAGCCTTGGCTGTCCTGGAACTCACTTTGTAGACCAGGCTGGCCTCAGATTCACAGAGATCCACCTGCCTCTGCCTCCTAAGGGCTGGGATTAAAGGTGTGTGCCACCACTTCTTAGCATGAGTAGTATTTTTAATAAAGGAATTAATTTAATTCTAAACTTGAATTTAGGATGAAGAATTAGAAACTAAATGTACATCCAGGCTTAAAAGTGTGTAAGCCTGTACTTAACAAAATGGCATTGTTTAGGTATCCTACTTATTTCAGATTTTATTAGTTTGGATGTTCTATTCTTGTGTTTTCATGTGTTTGCTCAAGTTTAGCGTTAACTTCCAGGTTTTAGTGACAGCATCTAGTAAAATAGACCCTTACTTAGGCTTTTTGGTGTATTTCTGCCTATCAACTGTCTCTCAGTTCTTTCCAGTTTGAGTACCTACTTGGGATATAGCATGAACCATACACATTGTGTGCTGCTTAACTACAGCAATAGAGTCTAAATTGTTGTGACTTTTGAAATATCTTTTCTTTTGTGCCTTGCATATTCTCAAACCTGCTGTGTATTTGAACTGTTAGAGTCATTGGTGAGTACTATTAGAAAAGGGCCTGGACAGTTTTAATAAGACAGGAAAAAGGTGTTGTTTGTTCCTAGAGACTGTTATTTGTTTGGAATATACTCAGGCCTTTCAATTGTCGTTTTCCCAGAGAAAATACTGTTCACTGACCTGACTAAAATAATTAATCCTGTGGAAGAGAGCATTAATCCTGAAATACCATCCTTGTACAAACCAGTTTCATACGTCAGAGGTGCCATATGAGTGTAATTTATTATTATTATAACGATAATGAGTTCAAACTTGCTGTTTGTTTCCAGAGAATGCCATGTCCTTTTTCCAGATAAAAGAATAGAAATAGATCCACTCCATATAACTAGGAATGATCCGTGAAATTAGCGAAATTTTTCTTACACGTACACCTTTACTTATAGCTGCCCTGTATTCGTGTATGTGTGAAGCAGAAACTACCAATGGGAAGGAATCACACTGTACCCTAGTTAAATTCTGCCTCCATTCTCTTACTAGACTTTAGTGGCATTCTACTCCTGTCTAATTGTTACTGTCATTCAAAAATTGAGATTCAAGTACAACATGTTCTTGTTTGACCCTTGTTAGGTTGCCAAGACTGAAATTAAACGTTTTCTGTAATCATTGGTGGCTAGAATAACTGCAGGATGTCATCTCTAAAGTTTATATATTCTTCCAGTGTATTTTATTCCACATGTTGACATGTGATTTATTTGTATAGTTGAAGTGAAAATAGTAATTCTTTTCCTTTATTCCAAGCTGCTAGATTATTAATAAAGATTGAGTATCATGAGCACATTGCTTTCCCTAGACTATTTATATATGGACTGACTTCTTTTACTTCCCCAGAAAGCACTTCTTAGCAAACCAGCATGCATCAAGATAAACAAAGAAGCAAGAGAGGAACCCCCTGGTAAGATCCACGAAGGCCCTTTAACTACAATTCATTACCAGAACTTTATGGAAAATCAGGTAGGGAAATGTAGATACAGGTATTTATTGCCTATTTATATCTATTGTAAAGAAAATGTCTATTGAAAAATTTTAATTGGATCATCTTTTTGTGATATGGGTTTAAATGTTCTATGTTGTGAATTTATTTCCCTTACTAGACAGCAGACATGTGTGAGCTTCTCCCATTCTCTAGACTATCATTTCACTTTAACAGTAGCGTCTTTTATAGACCCCAAAGTTTAGTTTCGGAGTGGTCTGACTTATTGTTGTCTTTTGTTCCTTGTTCTTTAGTGTTACCTCTCCTAGCATACATGGGATCATGAAGTTTTATTCCTAGGTCTTCTAAGTATATAATTTTAGCTGTTACTTTGACGTCTGTATTCATCTTTAATTGATTTTCATGAATGAATTGGAGGATGGGTCCACTTCATTCTTTTCTATGTCAATACCCAGTTATCTTAAAGCTATTTGTTAGAGTTATTCTTTTCCCATTGAATTGTCTGACGCCCTTGTCAGATGTCAGTTCATGATAAATATGAGGGTTTCTTTCTTACCCCTCCTCTTTCTAATATTCTGTGTGTTTGTATGATTTGCTTGTTAATTCAATCTTTTTTTTTTTGCTTATTTTTGTTTGTTTGTTTTTAAACCAGCTGACATTTTGATAAGAATTCTTGAATCTGTAGATCTACTTGTGAGCTATAGTGTTGAAAGTGTGGCCAATGTGTGGCGTGTGTGTGTGTGTGTGTGTTTTCAAATGGTTTCAGTATATTGCCCAAGCTCGTCTCAACTCATGGGCTTTTATTTCTATCTTCAAAGTTCTGGGACTGTAGATCGCCCACCAAATCCAGCAACATTGTCAAAGAACAATATTTCCTCCTAGCCTTAACATGGAATATCCTTTCATGTATTTAGATCTTTAATTTCTTTTAATAATGTTTTAAAGTTTTAAGTACATAGCCTTGTACTCTATCAGCAGTCAATTACATTTGAATACTTTGTTCTGCTAGACTTGTTTGTGGTATCTAAAGTATTACTCTAAAGTTATTGTAAAGATATGGTTTCTATTTATAATAGCTATGTTTACTATTAAACTTTTGTTTAATAGTGAGCTTTTGGATTTTGCTTTTTGTTTTTCTTTTTATTGTTTGCTTTTTTTTAGGACCTTTGCTGTGGGGATATTTCATCTGTTGTGACAGGTGAAAAGGAGAGAGAAGATTGGTTTGTGGGTTACCAGCAGGATCTCCTTTCTGAGGACAGAGAAAAGGCTATCAGCAAAGTTCAGGTAAAGCCAAAAAAGTAAACTTATGGTCTTGGGGCACAGATCTATAATCTTAGCTACTTGAGAGACTGAAGCAGAAGGATTACAAGTTCCATAATCAGTCTTGGATACAGCATGTGAGTTCAAGACCAGCCTGAACAATTTTGTGAGAACTTATCCTAAAATAAAAAGAGGATTGATGGCCAGGCGGTTCTGGCACACACCTTTATTCCCAGCACTTGGGAGACAGAGGCAGGTGGATCTTGTGAGTTCGAGGCCAGCTTGGTCTATAGAGCAAGTTCCAGGACAGCCAGGATTACATAGAGAAACCCTGTCTCGAAAAACAAAACAAAACAAAAAAAGGAGGCGGGGGTGTTTGAGTATGTAGCACAGTGGGAGAGTGTTTGCCTAGCATACATAAAGTCCTGGTTTAGTCACCAGGAACGCGAAAAAGCGTTTTAAAAAATAAATGTGAATTGAATTAGGAATTTATGGTGTATTTAGGACTATTGACTCAGGTTGTTGTTTTGTTTTGTTTTTGTTTTTCAAGACAGAGTTTCTATGTGTATCTCTGGCTATCCTGGAACTCACTCTGTAGACCATACTGGCCTTGAACTTACAGAGATGTGTTTGCCTCTGCCTCCTGAGTGCTGGGGTTAAAGGCATGCACCACCATTACCCAGCGACTCAGGTTATTTTAAAGTTGGATAAATACTAAGGTTTCACCCTTCTAGCTTTGCTTGATTATGATATCATTTAAGATTATTTTGGGATTCTTATGGGAAAATCTGGATTTTTGCTGCCATCTAGCAGTCTGTGTTTGTTTATATTTCCTTTCAGAAAGTAAAATTCAAAAATCCATTATTTGTTGTGATAAAAGAAGATGAACAAAAGCAATTGAATCTTCATAGCCTTCAGGCTGTTCTTCCACAAGCCCAGGATTATCTTGTAGAAGTTCAAGGCAACTGTCCAGAATCCCAGAGTGGTGTGATAGATGTCCTTAATGTTGAGCCCAAAGCTCCAAGTATTGAACCTAAAACTCCAGGTGTTGAACCAAACACCCAGGCCGCTGGAATTGAGTTTAAGACCTCAGAGCCAGAGGGCCAGGCTCTTAGGATAGCAAGTCAAGACACTGTTAGAGCCCAGGCTGTTGCGCCTGGTGGGAACATTGAGTTGGAAGCCCAGGATTTTCTACCTCCAAATCAGACCTTTTCTTCCAGAGACCGGGATTTTCTGCCCAAATGCCAAGACCAGGACTCTTTACCCAAAGACCACCATGTTCTCTCTAAATACTGGAATGTTCTTCCTAAACATCAGGACCAGCATTGTCTACCAGTAGACCAGAAATTTCTACCTAGAAACCAGCCTCCTTTATCTGAAGAACAGAGTCATCCGCTTGAATGTCAGATCCAGGATCTCCCACCTAAAGAAGAGAGTTTTCTGCCCAGACACCAGTATAATTTACCTATGTATCAGGACAGAAGAGGTCCACATGTTCTTCCTAAATGTCAGGATCATGATGTTCTTTTCAAAGACCAGAGTAATCTACACAAATGTCAGGAGCAGGATCTTCCACTCGAAAACCAGGTAAAATAAAGCGGGAAGGGGTACAAGTCATAAGTGACGTTGGTTTGTAATAGAATCTGCAAAGATTCTTCTACAGCTGATTGGAGATTCCTAGCTGGAGACGGCACTTTCCTGACTGATTTTCAGAAGTCCAGGGTTCCTACAAAATGTTAAAGTAATGTCAGCAGTTTATTTTCTCTATCCGGGAGATTTATTTGTAAAAAATAATTCTATATTAGGATAAATATTTCTGTCAGCCATCATCTGTTTTGGCAGCTGGACGTTGAAAAGAGGCATGGCCTACAAGTACTAGCTGTATCTCTCAGCACAGGTTCCAGGCCACTTCTCTGCTAGAGACCATTTAGGGTCAGAGGAAGAAAAAGGGGCTGTGCAGGGAGAACAGCTTGTAGGGTTGTAGTTAACCAGCTTCTCCTCCAAGCCAACAGTCTAAGCCAGCCTGTTATTCTTAACTAAGCAATCAGTGCACAGTGTTTGTTCTTTTTAAAACAAATATGATGAAGCCAGAATCAGTTCTGAAAGGTAGACAGGGAGAGAGTCACTTCCTCTGATGTCTGTCAAGATCTCTGTGGGCACCATCAGGTCTCCATCGGGAGCAAGGTAGAGCAGAGAAAGGACAGAGATTAGCAGAAACTTAACTCTTTGAGGTTTAGTTTGGTCTTGCAAAACCTCTCAGCTGGATTGGGAACTGACAAAGCATGACTTCCTGTGATTATGTTTCATATTACTCTGAATTTAAAAATTACCTTGATGTTCTTACCAAAGTCTTCATTATTATTTCTCTCATACTATTCCTGCTGGACATTTTTTTTTTCTCTTTTAGAAAGTAAATTTTAGGGAGCCATTCTCTGATATGACAGATGGGAAAGGGAGAGAAATCTTTTCTCTTGCGAGTTACCAGTGTCTGCCTCCCAAACCGCAAGTTCAGGATTTTATGAGAGACCAGGTAGGGCAGAATAATAATTGGGGTACCTAGTCTAGGTACTGTTAGAATATACACTCAGTGTGAAGAAGGATGTGTAGATGCTTAACAATTCAGTTCTTGCTCTTCTCTTTCTCTGTTCTATCTTGTACCTAATGGTACAAATGGCCCTGTTTTAGTAAGTCAGATAAATTCTCCCAAAAGGCAGTTAGTCTGTTTTAATTTACCAGGATTATTCTCTGTTACTGAATCCCACCATATTATCAGAAACTTATTGCCCCAACATGAAGAGTGTAAGAAATAGTAGACCTTAATCCATTTTAAGGTTTGGTGAGTTTGCTAGATTCTCCTGTGTGCAGTTTAAGAATTAAAATCTAGTAGCATTGGATTAAAAGTGTAGCATTGTCCCTGATTCCTGAGCATCAATCAAGATTTACATGGAGTTCTCCCTGAAGCCTGCAAGATTCTGACTTACCTATTTCCCTGACTGTTTATTATTGCCATTATTATTGGTTTTGTTATCTTTTAGGACATGTTTCTCAAGCAACCATCAACTTTCATGAAAGGAGAGAGAGAGGATGAGGAGTTACCTGTGCTGTGTCCTCTGATCCAGGACCAAATCTTGCTTAGAAAACAAGTAGAGAGTACCTGTAGAATGAGGGCTGAATAACTCCTGAAAAAGAATAACAGACAATTTATTAAGCTAGCTTGTATGTGGAATACATAAACATAAGACTAAGAGTAAAATGGCTAGTTATTTTTAAATGTGCTAAAATAATCTGTGATTTACTTTTAAATACTCCTGAAAAAAATTGGAGAAGGCTAGAGAGATGGCTCAGTGGTTTAGAGTACTGGCTGTCTTCCAGAGGAATCAAGTTCAATTTCCAGCACCCACACTGTGGCTCACCACCTTCTATAGCTCCAGTTCTAGAAGATCGAAGTGTCCCCTTCTGACTTTTACAGGCACCAGGCACACATGTAGTGCTCAGTCATAACACTTAGAAAACACTTATAAATATAAAGGAAAAATTTTAAAATGTTGAAGAAGACATAGATGAAAAAGTAAGGGTACCATAAGAGATTTATTATACTGTTTCGTTCCTACTTTATTATATGTTTGGATTTTTTATGACACACACATACACCTTTGTTCTGTTGTGACTCTAGAATTTTCTCCTGTATTATAATGAGAAGATCATTTCTATTGAGACAGTTTTGTAGTTCCTTTTGAGCAAGTGTATCAGAAGGACTTCATCTTAGGAGAAATGGAGGATGGTGAGACTGCAAGAGGAGTTGCCTTGGAGGACTGTACACATGCTTAACACAGCATTTGAGCCCGAGCCTGTCTGGGAGAATCGTAGTGAAGAATATGCTTCAAAGAACAAATTGCTTAGATTTGCCCTGAGATTTGACAGGCAATGAAGTGATTGCTTCAGGCATGTAATGTTAAGGTCAATAATAATGGACAAAGAGCAGAAACAGACTCTTTTTGTTCTGTTTGCCATTCTGATTGAAACCTACTTCAATTTTCATCAGCTTTAATTGCTGCTGTAGATGTTATCTTCCTGTTTGGGCACTTTATATTGATATTTATGTTGTTTTTTAGTACAGGAGCCATGAGCAGTCATCATGTGATATGATAAATGAAAGATGGAAAAAGGAATTATATCCAGAGTGCTGCAGATGTGGTTTACATGAAATCCAGGATCCAGACTCTACATGCAAGCAGGTAGAGTGGAGTTTAGTAAGTGTAAACAGTTAAGAGTTTGGGCTGGGCTTTTTAGAGTTATATTACTAACAAAAATATTAATGTTATTATCTTTTTTGATACTAACATTGTAAAAATGATAACTAACCTGTATAAAGTATTAACAATAGCTCAAATGTTTGCAGAAGCTTATATGCATTATCTTTTCTGAATTCTCACAATAACATGGGAGATAGATGCTGATATGATCCTTGTTTTATAGGTAAAATTGTTTTGCAGATATATTAAAATTGTTAATAAGAAATATTTCCACTTCTATGGTTTAACATATTAGAACACTCTGGCTTATTTAGATTACCTGGGGCTATTACTGAAACCTCTAGTGTTTTCACTATTACATCACCATTTACACAAATTGATGTGTGATGTAGATCTTATTACGTTTTACTAAGCAGCAACCATCTGTTAACACAACTGAGAGGTGGCAAGAGGATTTACATCTTGGTAGTCGTGAACATCTTCCATGCAGACACTGGAGAGAAACATGCAGCAGGCGACAAGTATGTGTACTATTACAGATACCTTTAGCCTGAAAGTGGGGAAGCCGATCAAGAGCCATGTTGCAGTCACGTGGTGGTGGTGCATGCCTTTAATTCCAGCACTCAGGAGGCAGAGGCCGGCAGATCTCTGAGTTCATTGCCAGTCTAGGCTACAGACTGAGTTCCAGTACAGCCAAGGCTTCACAGAGAAAACTTGTCTAAAAATCAGAAAAAAAGCAAAACAAACAAACAAACAACCCACATTTTATTTCAGAGCTTGTGCCAGAATTTGTTAGGGTGGTGTTGACCAAAGTTTGGGGATATAGGAATTAAGATCTCTAGTGTTTCAAGAAATGTCACAAGACTGTGGTCTATTAAGATTTCTTTATGGCTCTTCTGAAGTCTTATGTATTACCTCTAAAGTTCTATTCTCAAATGATTTCTATTTGTGGTTTTATGTATTTTAGAATCAAAGGTTCGAGGTAACTAGTAATGTTAGGGTGCCTGAAAGAAATCAGGAAATTTCCTCTTGGTCTCATTCAGGGAGTCAGGATGACATAAAGAAGAAGGGCAGAAAGGAGAACATGGCTGAGGCTTCAGGACTGAAGTTCTGCTTTCTGCAACTTGTAGTTTGGCCAATAAAGTTATCTTAAGGGAGTACCATCATGGCTTCTTCAACATTGTCATTAATAGTCCAAAGAGTAAGGCCCTTTTCTGAGGTGGGTCTTTTGGCTTTGTTTTTTTCCTTGGCCTGGAGAGTCTCCCCTTTTTCGTTCATTGATTCTTTCTGTTTATTATGATTTGGGTATAAAATGTCTCCAAAGACTCATTTGAAGGCTTGGCCCCTATGGTAGTGGTGTTGAGGAGTAACTAGATCATGAAATTAAATTGCTGGCCTCCTTAGGAGGTGGGGTCTAGTGTAGAAGAACATCATCACTAGGTTTATGTCTTGGAAGAATATGCTTTGTTTCTAGCCTCTGCCTGTCTTGCCCAGTTCTTCCTATCCACTGTGAAAGGTATCATTTTGCTCTATTTGTTGTTGTTGTTGTTTTGTTTTTTGAGACAGGACTTCTTTGTGTTGCCCTGACTGTCCTGGAACTCAATCTGTAGACCAGACTGGCCTCAGATTCACAGAGATCTGCCTGTCTCTGCCTCCTGAGTGCTAGGATTAAAGGCCACTGCCACTGCCAGGCCTGCCAAAACAACTCTTTAAAGCCTCCTTTAGTTTACTTTCTCAGGTATTTTGTTGCTGTGATGAGAAAACTAGCTTAACTTATCACTCTTCCTTTGGAAAAGATTGCCCTGGCTACCTTTTCAAAATTATGGGTCTTGTAATACCCCTCCTTACATGATAACAAAAATCCATAAACAATTTTTGGACAATGTGGGCGTAGTTTTCTAGACTATTTCCTTTTGTTTGGGAGTGTTGACATCTTTTGGGGAGCTTTGAGAAAATGGGATAATTGTTAAGTCTTGGCTGGAGTATTCTGTGAGACTGGATCATCTCACTCAGCAGTCTTAGAGATGTCAAACATTTGCTGAGTACCTGCCAACATTAGCCATTATTTAAGTATGATCAGATACAGCTGCAAACAAGTCCTAGCACTCAGAATTTCAGACGGTCTCAAAAAGAGACTGGTGTGTATTCAGATAGTTATTGAGCAACATAATTCGTGATAGAGGGTGTTCACAAAGCCTAGAAGAGAGGCACCTGTGTCCTAAAAATCAGGGTGAAGTTTGTGATTTGAATTTCTTCTTTTTAATCCTACCATCACACAGGCCCTGAAAATCCCCAACCTTAGAACATTATTCCTCTTCTTACATTTCTAATCCAGAGACATTAACAGTGCTGATAAATACTGATTCCTACTTAGGGTTTCTAAGTACAACAGGGTTCCCAGTGCTGCCTAGCATTTTTCTTGTTGCAATGCCACACCCTCAAAATGACTTTTTTTAATGTGTATGTGTGTGTCTGTGCCTGTCTGTCTCTCTTTCGTCTCTTTCTATCTGGGTATGCAGAGGTCATTAGAACAACTTGTGGAAATGATTTTCTACCTGTGATTGTGGGGAATGAACTCAGGCCACTGGGCTTTTATGGCAAGAACCTCTACCCTGCTGAGCTGTCATATCTCTGATCCCAAACTCTCACACTTTCATAAAGAAAATCAAAAGCTGGGCATACATCTTTAATCATAGCACTGGAGGCAGGGGCAGGTGAATCTATGAGAGTTTGAAGCCAGCCTGGTCTACATGGTGAGACTCCATATCAGAAAAGAAAGAATGGGGGCGGGATCAAAGCTTTCACATTATCACTCCTATTACTAGTTATAGCTATTATTTTTTTGCCAATATTACTTATTCTTACTATATTAGAGGAAAAGTAGTTTCTTTTTGGATCTATACTCTATGTTCTCTTATTTTTTTGTGGACTCTTGAGCCATTAATTATCCTATATTATAAATGTATCTTAAACTATTTCCCTTCTAAAGTTGTTTTCAAGTGTTTTCCATTGAAAGAAGCAAACAAAAAATTCAAAACTTCTTTGGACCTGAGTGATATGTATCATTGTTACAGAACTACCTAGTATTCTCAAGGCCCTGGCTTCTTTTCCCAGAAACACAAAAACAAAATGGAAACAAGACTCCTCTTGAGTTCTATAGACAGTGAATTCGAAGATACATAATTCATGTTACTCCTATTTTTTAATCTAATTGTGATCTGCAAGTAATTTTACATAGTTATCATAATCAGTTATTTAAAAAGAATCAGCAGTGATAACTTTTAATCTTCCACTAACTTAGACATATTGGCAGTTTCTCAATTGCCTGTGCTCTGATTACTGTCCTCACTTATGCCCTTGGACTTAAATACTGTTGAGATGGCCCTTGGCTCCATTCTTGTTAATGATTCAATGGATACTTGACTTCTTACATTCTGCTGACTTTCTGCACATTTGAAATAGTAAAATGATTGTTCCTGAAACCTTTTCTCTCTGAACAGCCAGTTTCCAGACTCACTGCTAAAATTGTAGTCACTTTTTCTGAGCCTTTCTTCTTACTGAATTTGCTTCCTGTTAGTGTGCTATATTTTTTAAATTACTAAACAGGTCCCCCTCTCCTTGTCTCCCTCCCCCCCCCCAGTAATATTTACTTCTATGACTTCAGCTACTAGGTGATTTTAAAATCTGTCTTGGAATACCCAGTAACCATCTCAACTCTTATATTCTACAGGTCCTCAAGTTGAAGATGTTCTGAGTATCTGTTCCAGAGCAGCTCCTTTACCCACTTAATTGTGCAAGCTATAATCCTAGGGATTATTTTTATATCTCCTCTGTTCCTTCATTTTAGATCCTTTTCATTTAAAATTTCTTATTATTGTGTGCTTATGGAATGGTGTAAATGTAAGTTTGTGTTCTATGAAGTGTGTGGAGGTCAGAGACAGCTTTGTAGAGTCAGTGTTGTCATTAGCTTGTCACTTTGATCCACCTGTGTTGACTGAAGTTTCCTGTCTTGCCTGATCCCACAGCCATTCAGTCCCCAAAAAACACACAGAGGTCTACATTAATCATAATAGTTCCATCTTCTTCTTAATTAATTCTTACCATCTTATATTAATCCATTATTCTTGTCTGTATTAGCCACATGGCTTGGTACCCTTTTGGCGAGGCAGTCATATCGTGTGTCCTCTGCGTTTGGGTGACGACTGTAGACTGAATCTTTCCTCTTCCCAGAATTCTTGTTGCCCCGCCTTTACTTCCTTACTGGCTACTGGACAATCAGCGTTTATTTAAAATACAAGTAATAGGGTACAGACCATTGTCCCACAGTACTCCTCCCCGCTCCCCCATTTTTTAAGAACAAGAACTCTGAATCAAATCTCCTTTGTTTAGCTTTTCTCCTGACCATTATTCATAACAACTTGCAACCAGCAGTCTAAATGAAGACAAAAATTCATAATATATTTTTTTGGGAATGTGAGCATAGTTTTCCAGGCTACTTTCTGCTAACTGGGGGCACTGATTTTATGGGGACCTAAAGAAAATTTAGAATTATGGTCAAATCCTGACTGGAATATTGTGTGAGGTTTGATTATCTCAGCCAGCAGTCTTGAGGCTGTTCTGGAAGTAAAACTCAGACATCTGGGCCATCTGTTCCTATCAGAGATTTCTCAGGCGGTTGTCCATGATCAAACCTGATTTTTTTCTTAACCTGGAATGAGTCCACAGTCTCTCATTTCCTGTGGAAACAAAAACAAAACCTCTTCTCCAAAGTAACATATTTTTTGACTTAAATTTTGAAGTCAAGGCATTTTCAAAATATATATGTTGGGTTATTCCAGCAGTATTTATAATCAAATGTCTTTTAGCAGCTTTTGATCCTTCCTCAGCCATCAGACAATTTAAAGAGAAAATAATAACATACAATATCTAGACTCTCTATGTATTTTTCATCTTTATTTGGCTTTATTTAAAACTCTATTTCTTTTATTTTTAATTTTTTGACTTTTTGAGACAGGGTTTCTCTGTGTTTTTTGGTTGTCCTGGAGCTCTGTAGACCAGGCTGTTCTTGAACTCACAGAGATCTGCCTGCCTGTGTCTCCCAAGTGTTGGGATTAAAGGTATGTGCCACCACACTTGACTACTCTCTTTCTTTCTTTTTTATTTTAAGGACTTTATTCTTTTTCTTTTCTCTCACAAGCCTGCATATATTTTTAAACACACTGTAAACCATTTATAGGTTTCTTCATTTGAATCTATCTTTACTATAGATCTCACTTTTTCTGACTACATGAGTCTTTAATTTGCTGAACAGTAGGCTAGGATTAAAGCCATGGTTTTGACAGCTGTATCTAACCCATTCCTTAGCTTTCTGAGAGCCTAGCTTCATGGTGGAGGTACTGATTGGAGTCATGTTTATTGCCACATCTCTATGGAGTTTTAAGGTCCCTGTCACTACCAAAAATCATGTGGTCAGCAATTCATAAACACCATTTAAGTGTTTGCTGGCAGGTTCTCTTAAAACAGATAAAGCTGAGTCAGGCAGCCTCTCTTAAATGAAGTGCACTTGCCTCTAGCAAACAAAGCCCACCTGAGAAAATGCTTCTAAGAAGCCATGCTTAACTCTGTTCATTTTTGTCTAGAATTATTTCCCAAACTCTCTCAGGTTGTAAGTGGTTTTAGCTGTCCACGTTGGCACCATTTGTTGACAGAGGTTTCTGTCCCACAGGGTCCCACAGTCATTTAGTCCCAAATAAACACACAGGGGCCTACATTAATTATAAACTGATTGGCATGGTAGCTCAGTCTTCTTATTCATTAATTTTCACATCTTACATTAACCCGTTATTCTTGTCTGTGTTAGCCACGTGGCTTGGTACCTTTTTTGGTGAGGCAGTCTCATCTTGAGTCCTCTGTGTTTGGCTTCCTCTCTGTCTGGGTGACGACTAAAGACTGAATTTTTCCTCTTCCTAGAGTTCTCATCGCTCTGCCTCTACTTCTTGCCTGGTTGCCCTGCCTATGCATCCTGTCTGGCTACTGACCAATCAGCACTTATTTAAAATACAAGTGACAGGGTACAGACCATTGTCCCACAGCACACCTGAGAAGAGGGACTTTCAGTTGAGAAACTGTCTCCATCAGATAGGTGTGGACACGTCTGAAGGGAATGTTCTTATTTGCTAATTGATGTAGGAAGGCCCAACCCACTGTGGGTGATGCTGTCCATGGGCAGATGGGCCTGGACTGTATAAGGTAGGTAGATGAACAAGCCAGGTCAGGCAGGCCAGTAAGCAGATTCCTCCATGGTTTCTGCTTCAGTTCCTGCTTTTAGGTTCCTGCCTTAGCTTCATTCAGTCATGGACCATGACCTGTAAGACAAACTCTTTCCTTCCCTAAGTTATTTTTGGTCAGTGTTTATCACAGCAACAGAGAACCAAACTAGAATAGTTAGTTGGCTGTCTTTCACAGTTCCTAGAAATCAAACTCAAGTCTCTGGGCTTGTGCAGCAAACACCTTAACCTGCTAAGTTATCTTGCCCTCTTAGATCCTCTTGATAAGGTGGATTAGGGCAGTTCCACATTAAACTCTTCTCTTTGTATTTTTGTGCCATAATTTTGCCGTTTCTTAACTGGTCTTTTAATCAACTTCCAGTATCTACCTCTACTTTATCTGATCTAGGAAACTGACTTCCTGACTTTGACTTTTTTGTTCCATTTCAATTTATATTTACAATACAACTAGACAGAATCTGTTATTTATAGATACCAATTTCATTTTTAGTGCCTCCAAAATGATCAGTTAGGAGAATTCATTTTAATGAATTTTTCAGTGCAGTTTTAAATACAGAAAGTATTGAAAGCATGGAAATCAGTTACCTTTCCATTTTCTATTTCCTCAGCCCTTCCTTTTCTCCAACATATCTACTCTCAACAGCTTAAAGTTCATCAGTCTAGACGACCTAATTTGCATACACATGCATACAGATAAATTTTTGATTGGGTTGCATATCCTATTTTATTTGATGACATTGTATTATATTGATTGTTCTGCAGCTGACTTTTTAAACTTCACATATTAAATTGATAATAAATTGATTTTTAGGTGTAGTAAAGAAATAAAAATATTTAGATATACTTGTACCCTTTTGGAGGTATTTCTAACATTTTGTGTCTCCAACTTCTATTACATCTACTCAGTGGAAGCCAGTGACACTGCTCCAAACCTACCCTCTGCCTCAGACTGTGACAAGAAAAAATGCTGTCGGCCTTATCAGAAGTGCCTGGGAAATAATTTTATCCATGGATCGATTTTAAAATGAAAAAAATTAAATAAATGTGGGGAATAAAAGTGAAATATAAAAAAGTAATTCTGTGCTTCTTGTAATGTACAATGAAAATCTTGTAAAACTTTTAAAACAAAATGTTGGGTATATGGAGTGAACCCTCCCTTAGACCCCTCAAAAAGTATACAGAAAAAGTATGAGAGTCCCCCATTAAGGCCCTTCTATTTGTTGAAGAGACTGTCTTTTCCCCAGTGGATGATCTTGGTTTCCTTATTTAGTGCATTTGATCATATGTACCAGGGCTTACTTGTAGTCATTTAGTTAATATACATGCTATATTTGTTTTAGATGTTTCTGTTTAAGGTTCTGATTTAATTTATATGGTTCTGTTGGGTCTATAACTCAGCAGTAGAGTGTTTGCTTCACATGCACAAGCCCCCAGTTTTCATTCCCAGCACCACAAAAGAAACTATGTGTCATTGGTCGCTGAACATTGATCTCAGCTGGCAGCATCAGTAACTCAAACGTAAACAAAACTAATCTAACATATGTTCTCTGTAAGGCATATCCTAACAATAGCACCCACCCCCAGTGCACGTGTGTCTTGTGCTAAGAAAGTAATATTACTTTCTTACACCACAACTTTTCTATGTGTGGGAGTGGTAATATATTAGCAATATACTGTGGGGAGAGGGTCATCTTAACCGGTGAAATCACTAACAGAAAGCACAAAAACACATCAAGTTTGCTACCATGTAGATTGCAGAAAGGATGCTTGTTTATGATATGAGAGCCGAAACAAAGAGTCCCAGCTGGCAGCGTGCATGTTTCGTTACTCAGATCTTTCATGTCTCTGCATGTCTGCCAAGGACTACATAAGCACTGTGAGTGTTGGGGTTACGTATAGATTTGAACGTGTAGACAAGTTTGTAAATATGATGGTGAATACAAATAATAAAGAATAGCTAACTGTACAGTTTGGTATTTTGTGAGTTTTCACAGGGCTGGCAAACATACCACAGTCAAGGTAAGAACATTTTCATCACCTGCAAAATATCCTGTTGCCAGGGACAGTCTAGTTCCTTAGTCCTGCTTCTGGTACTAAAGATAAATAACTTTAAAATAAAGAATTTTAAACTTTTTTTTCTTTTTAAAGGTAGAAATTATTACTTGACATAAAATGTCCAGGTAGGTGTATCAACTAGCCTGAATTTTCTAGACGATATAGTAGGTAGTGAGCCCCAGTTTCTTCCAGGAAGAGTCAGTAGTCAGACACATGGAGAGGATTCACAGAACTTTTAGCAATTTTGTCACTTTTGTAAATTGAACTTTGTAGCAGGTTTATGAAGAGTATCGGTCGGGACTGAGCAAATACCATGCTTCATTGGCCTTTCAGTCTGGAGTGGATCAAGAAGAAGACAAGAAAGAGGTAAGCAGTGGTGTTGCTTCTGAATTCTCTGTGAAGTTGGAAGTAGTTCACTATTTTAACTCATTAAAACAACAGAAATTCTGGAGCTGACCCTTTGAGAGAACCTAAGTTCAGTTCCCAGCCCCTAATTGGGGTCTCACAACCATCTATATCTCCAGTCCCAAGGGATCTGATGTCTTCTGGCCTCAGCGGGGCACTGTTTGCAGATGGTACATAGACATCATCACAGGCAAAACACTTTGCTAACATGCGCAAAAGATAGAAATATTTGAGTAACCCAAAATGCATCTGTCAGCTGGACTGTTTCAGCTCCATATCACAAACAAGCAGCTTTTTGCAATCTATTTGGTGCCATATTTGATGCATTTTTAGTGCTTTTTAAGAAATTGGTGATTTTTCTGGCTAAGATACCCCCTCAACTATTCTGCTAATATACTATTACTCCCAAGTATAGAAAGGTTGTAGTGTGGATTCAACTCCTAGTATAAGGAGCAGAGGGAGGGGAAGGCTGTTATGTGCCTTACAGAGACAATAAGTGTGTTAAAAATATTAATATAAGAAAATTAGAGACCTGGAGATATGGTTCAGCAGTTAAGAGCACTGACTGAGAGTCACTGACTGCTCTTCCAAAGGACTTGGGTTCAGTTCCCAGCATCCACATGGTGACTCACAATCATCTGTAACTCCAGTCCTAGAGGATCCAACCCTCTCCTCTGTGGACACTGCAGTGTACAGACACATGTTGAACAGTCATACAGGTGGGCAAAACATCCATGCAATAAAAATAAATACTTTTTAAAAAAGAAAGAAAAGAATAAAAACAGAAATTCCAAAGATGTTAAGACATTATAATATGCTTAACTTTTTTTTTAGGCTCGTAGGTTTTGAGATGCACTTGTTTGATCCAAGTGAATTTCTCTAGCTATGTATATTTTCCACTATAGCTTACTTAAAGTAGTACTTTAAATGTATGGCTTCTCTTCCTCTTCAGGTAAAAAGTACTCTACCAGTTTTAAATACTGGCCTTGGTCTGATATCAGATGAAAAACATTTTTGATGCATCTTCAATAATGAGAGTCATTCTTCAGATTAAGGTTCTTTCACCAAAGAAGTCATATATTGGCCTGTGTATGTGTAGATATGTCATCCCTTTGAGTAACTTGTGTCCTTGAAAGAGAATATGTAAATCCCAAGGTATAAACAGATCATGCATAGTATAGTAGCACTTGCTTTTATTATGCTCATTCTGTTTACGAGCATGGTACCCTGATAGACTTGATCCTCTGCACTTCTCCTTATCATGTGTGGTAGGCTTTGTGATGTGATTTTAGTCTTTACAGATTCAATGGGCTATTGTTCTATTATAAAATGCCTGCCTTTCTTTCTCAGAGGCCCTCACTTTATGATACTGCTTGAGAACACAGAGTAAATATAGTATGTACCTTAATTGTGTCAAATATAACAATTTCCCAGGTACTGTTGACAAGTGGACTACACTAAGGTCAAACTAATACACTATTTTTTCTTCAGATGGTGTTAACTATTTCAGCTTTTACTAAGGGTAAACTAAATTTGCACTTTCACTGGTTTGTCTGTGAACAAAGTAGCTGTGTACTTGAAAACATAATTTTCTTATTGTATGTACTGCTGTTGATACAGAAGAAGTTGATGACTTTATCACATGTAACCTCATTTTATCTGACAGTTTTCGTCTCTTTAGAATAAGAATATTGTCCTTTGCAAAGCTGTCTGTGAATAGGCTAGATAATTTTAACTTCTTTCCTTTAGCGTCAAAGGCAATACTTAAGACACAGGAGACTTTTCATGGATATTGAGAGGGAGCAAGTGAAAGAACAAAACAGACAAAGAGAACAAAAGAAGAGAATTGAAAAGTAAGTTCTTTTGATTCCCATTCTAAGGCTTAAATAACTGCTAAGGTAATGTTATGCTTGCTAAGACTAAGAGCTAGAAAACATCAAGTTTAGGTTTGAGGTATTGCTCAGTGGTAAAATATCCTTAGCATTCACGGTGCCCTAGGTTCAGTCTCCAGTTACCATACCACTCACTATCCCAAAAAGGGGAAAAAAAGAGAAGGAGAAATTATCAGGCAGCAATTTTGTGGTTTTGCCTTCTGAGCTTGGAAGTAGTCACTTTTGATCTAAAGTATTAAAGATATAATTAAGTATACACATATAGTATATATATATATACATGTATAATATATATTTTTTTCTTTTTGAGACACAATCTCACTTTGTAGGAACTCACTGTGTAGACCAAGTTGTAGTCATTTCCCTGCATCAGCCTTCCAAGAGCTAGGATTACAGTTGCACTACTGTGTCTTTTTGATTTTTTTTATATACTTAATTTATTAGAACAATTTTTAGTTCATAGCAGAATTGAGCAATAGAGTTCCCATATACCTCCCGTCTCCATACATGCACAACTTTCCCACTAATTCAGTTTGTTACATTTGATGAGCCTACATCATCACACTATTACCCAGAGTTCATGACATGCTTTAAGATTCATTCTTGATTTTGTGTATTCAAGTATATAGTGATGAAATGGGTTCATGTACATATCATACAGATTATTTCCATTTCCTCCCCCTCAAGGCCCTTAACCCTGGCAATAGCTTACCTCTCATCTGACTCTGTGGGTTTCCCTTCTCCAATGTGTGTGTAAGCTTTTCAGGTTAGTTTCTCGTAGTTATTAATATGCATTTAAGTTTCTTTTATCACCTTTAAATGGGTTGATAGCTGTTTCTTCTACAAATGGTGTGTGTGTGTGCGCGCATGTGTGTGCGTGTGCGTGTGAAGGCTCTCATGCACATGGAAGTCAGAAGGCAACTTGTGAGAGTCAGTTTTCTTTCATCCTAAGGATCATTCTCAGGTTGTCAAGCTTGGTGGCAAACTCCTACACTGGCTGAACCAACTTGTTGGCCAAATAGCTGTTTTAAAAAATATATAATAAAAATTTAATTAACAATCTGCCGTCTTGATGTATCTCTGTTTTACGTCATCATTTGACCTGTTGAGGACATCTTTGTTGCTAATAAGATTTGGCAGTTTTGAATAAAGCTACTATAACAAACTACTGTGTAAATTTTTCTGAGAGCATAAATTACTGGCTCATTTGGATAAATAAATATGAAGGAGTGTGATTTCTGGATCATAAGCAAAATGTGGATCATGTCCTTGTCAGTATTTGGTGTTGTCAGTGTTTGTGGTCTGTTCATTCTAATAAGTATGTGTGCGTTAGTATCTCAGTGTTGTAACTTTCTGTTTCCTGATGATCTATGGCATGCAGTATCTTCTCATATGTTTACTTGCCGTCTGTGTATCTTCTTTGGTGTTATGTTTATTCAGATCTGTTGCCTATTTTTCAATTGGGTCTTTTGTTTCTATTTTTAGTTTTATAGTTTTATTAGTTTTTTCCATGCAATATATTTTGATCATATTCTTTCCTTTCTTCAACTCCCCATAGATTCTTCCCACCTCCCTATTCACCCAACTTTGTGTTCTCTTTTTCTCTTTCTCTTAAAACAAACCTAAAAAAAAAAAAATCAAAGCATACTTTAGAAAAAAAAAAGCAAACAAAAAGACACACCAAAAAGTGCCAAAAATCCATGTTTTGTGTATGTGTTGGTCAACTACTCCTGAGCATGGGGCCTGCCATTTGAGTTGGTTTATGATAATACCCAGTGAGACTCCATTTAAAAAAAATCTAGCTTTTTATTTCCTATGATGTATCAGTTGCAAATAACTTCTTGGTTAGGAGTGGGGCTTTATGCCCATGCTCCCTTCTCAGTTGTGGAATTTTCTGGTTTGAACCTGTGCAGATCCTGTGCTTGCTTTCATAGTCTTTGTGAGATCATATGTGTATCAGCCTTATGTCTGGAAAATGTTTTTGCCTTAGAGTCTTCCCCTACCTCTGGCTGGCGCTTACAATCTTTCTGCCTTCCCTTTACGTAGACCTCTGGGCCTTAAGGGGAGGGATTTGGATGTTTCTGTTCTGCTTGGTCCTGTAGCCGTTCAGTCTCAAAGAAACACACAGAGGCTTATATTAATTATAAACGGTTGGACCTATTAGCTCTGGATTATTATTAACTACCTTTTACAACTTAAATTAACCCATAATTCTTGTTTATGTTTAGCCACATGGCTTGGTACCTTTTTTCAGCAAGGCATTCTCAGATCATTTCAACCAGCAGCCTTGAGGCTTCTTTGAGTTTAGAAATCTGAGGAAACTGCAACACAGATGCTCTAAAATGCTGAATCATCTGGAATATCCACTGCTATCAGAGATTTTTTCAGGAGGTCTTCCTCAATCAAACCTGATTTTTTTCTTCACCCAGAATGAATCCACAGCCTCTTATTTCCTATGGAAATAAAAGCAGAGTCTCTCTCCCAAAGTAACATATCTTTTGACTTAAATTTTCAAAATACAAAGGTTGGATTAATCCAGCAGCATTTATCATCAACTGCCTTTTAGCAGTTGTTATTCCTTACTCAGCAGTCAAACAATTAAAAGAAAACACAATAACATACAATTTTCAGATTCTCTGTGTATTTATTTTCCATCTTTATGTGGATTTAAATCTCTACTTATTTTTAATTTTTGATTTTTTGAGACAGGATTTCTCTGTGTGTCTTTGGCTGTCCTGGAATTCACTCTGTAGACCAGGCAGGCTGGCCTGGAACTGACAGAGAACCTCCTGCCTCTGCATCCCAATTGCTGGGATTAAGTGCCACCATGCCTAACTACTCTATTTCTTTTTTTTTTTTTTAAGATTTTCTCCTTTTTCTTTTTTCTCCCAAGCCTACATATATTTTTAAACACATTGTAAGCTGTTTAGAAGTTTCATCTGAACCTGTCTTTCCGGTATAGCTCTATCATTGCCTGACCACATAAATCTTTAATCTGCTAAGCCATATGGCTAGGATTAAGGTGGCAGCTTTGGCGACTAGCTTGGCCCATTCCTTGACTTCCTGAGAGTATTGGCAGGAACCATGTTTATTGTCACAACTCTGTGGAGTTTCTGGGTTCCTGCCACCACCAAGAAACTTGATGCCGGCTGCTCATAAACACCATTTAAGTGTATGGTGGTAGAACCACTTAAAAGAGCCACCATGTGGTTTTTGCTGCTAATATTGAATCAGGAAACCTCTCTTAAAGGAATCGCACTTTTGCTTGCCACCAGCCAACAGAGCCAACTGGAGAAAAGACAGTTACCAAGGAACTATACTCGACTCTGTTCTTGTGTGTCTAGAAACCTTTTTTAAAGCCTTCTCAGGTTTTATGTGGAAATTCTTACCAAACATTTGAGTGCAATTTGTGGAGCCCAGCTAGCTCAGTTGGTAGAGCATGAGACTCTTAATCTCAGGGTCATGGGTTCGAGTCCCATGTTGGGCACTGTTTGTAGATGGAAGTTTCTGTTCCATTCAGTCCCATAGCTGTTCAACCCCAAAGAAACACACAGAGACTTACATTAATTATGAACTGTTCAATCTATTAACTCAGGCTTATTATTAACTAGCTCTTACAACTTGAATTAACCCATAATTCTTGTCTGTATTTAGCCACATGGCTTGGTACCTTTTCTCAGTAAGGCATTCTCATCTTGCTTCCTCTGTTTCTGGCTGGTGACTGGCTCTCTGCCTTTCCTCTTCCCAGAGTTCTCTTAGTCTGATTTCCCTGCCTTTACTTCCTGCCTGGCTACTGGACAATTAGCATTTTATTAAACTAATATGAGTGACAAATCGTTACAGTGTACAAGAGCATTATCCCACAGCAGTTTTGTAAAGACATCCTATTTAAGGCTGACTGTTCTAAAGTCTCTCACTCTCTGCACATTGTCTATTTGTGGATCTCCATGTTAATTTTCATTTATTGCAGGAAGAATCTTTTCTGATGAGAGTTGAGTGATGTCTGCTCTATGGGTATAATGATATATCTTAGGTATCTTTCCTTTGTTATGTTCTTTTACCGGAGTAATAGTACTTTGTTTTCCTCTAGGCTCATGGCCTATCTAGTCTCAGGTTCTTGGTCACTTTAGAAGTGTCAGGCATGGCTTCTGCCCTGTAGAGTGGGCCTTAAAACCAATCAAAAAGTGATTGATTACTCCCATAGCAGTTGTGCCACTGTTGCATCAGTATACCTTGCAAGCAGGTCTCTGTTGTAGGCAATAAAGTCTGTAGCTGGGTGATACTGATGTTTACTTTCTCCTCCAGCACCATGCATGCAAGTCAGGAGAGGTGATACACCAGCTCTATTTCTCTTTTTCCAATGACATTGTTTCCTTATTTTGACTTTGAGAATTTTTATGTATATGTTGAGTTTAAGATCTTTGTAAAAATCTTTTTAAATACGTTCTTTTCAGTTTCTGTCATGTCTTCTCATTCATTTGACAGTACTTTTTTCAGAACAGAAAATTTTAATGGTCTCGTTTATCATTTTTTTCCCATGGATTAATTCTGCTATATCTAAATCATCTTCTAGGAGCTATATGGTTTTTATGTTTGACTCTATAATACATTTTGAGGGGCTTTTAATTTTGCATTTTAAGACAAAGCCCAGACTGGTCTGGAACTCAGTATATCTAAAAATGATCTCAAAATGCTGTCCCTTCAACCTGCACATCTCAGTGCTGAGATTACAGTTCTTGATCCCACCATGCCTAGTTTAGAGGTGGGTTTTTGTTGTTTGTTTTGTGTTTTTTTTGAAAATAGGATCTTGCTGTATAGTTCAGATTGGTCTTGAACTCATAATCTTTCTGTTTTAGCCACTGAATCTCTGGGATTATAAATAAGTGTGATCAAGCTTGACTGTGCAGTTTGAATTAAGTTTTTATAAGAAATATAAGGTCTTTGTTTAAAATAATTTTTGT